AAAAAAAAAAAAAAAAAAAGATTCCGACGAACTGATAACCTCCTCCTTTTTTGGAAGTCGGTTAAAAAACAGCAGCCACCTAGCTAGCTGTTGGGCATACGTATGTATTTTAATATGTGTGCGTGTGATGTAGTAAAATATGTTGTATTAAAGGATTGTTACTCACCACACTAATCCACCGATGATGGTACCAACATGCGATGCTAGCTGAAAGGGTAAGAAAGGTAAAACAACAATCCCACATAACATAAATGGGAACAGAAGACCTGCACTTGATCATCGAGCAGATTAAGTGAGCTTCAGTTCTATTCTCGCTGCAATTGCCTTCGCGTAAAATTTGTGTGCTAGTGCGCGTGTGAACAAAAAAAACAAAATCTTACAAATAACTAAAAAAGAATTAAAGGTAAGGTTTACGAAAATTTTAGCGTTTTTACGACAGAAGGTCATAAAGCCAGTTGGCAAATTATTATTATTATTATTTATATATATTTTTTTCATTTAAACCTACCAAAAAGCTTATGTGATAAAAATGTACCTATGTACCAAAAAGTGCAAAAAAAAGGTGGTTAAACTTAACTAACCAAAAAAAAGTGTGTTAAGTGTATAAAAAGTGTGTGAAAAAAAGACTTATATGTCTATAAAAAAATTATCTACGAGATTTGTTAATTACGTAAAAGATGGATTTTATCCATAAAATAAAAAAAAAATAAAAAAAAGAAATACATGTATAAACATATATGTAAAAGCCTAAATTCTACTCTTCTATGGAGGCAAAAACAATTTCGAGGAGTGCAACTTGGGGAACAAAATTTCCCGTATTGTCACATGGGTTACTATGCGGGTAACCTGACAGAAAGTGAAACCCCGTAGACGGGCCTAACCTACTGTATCTCGGTTGCTTAATATTTAGATTTGAGTAATTATAATGATATTTATAAAAAAAAGGAGCATAGATGGAATGTGGTGTTAAATTTTAGGTTAGTTTCGGTTGTAACGGTGCTAGGGGTGTACACTGTTCCGCTCTCACCACGGTTACTGTTCCCAGTTGGTCGCGGCGAATTGTGTCCACTACTCTGCTCTTAGCGATGTTTTTTTTCTTTCTTTTGGGTGAAGTTTGTGATGGTGTAATTTGTGTATCGCCAGGAGCGCCGCGCACCGCTGCTCACACTTGTTTGGCCGAAACACAGCGGTCTTGTGTCCTATGTTGCAGATGTCGTTGGATGCTGCAGTGCACCTTCGCCCAGTAAAATGCGTTGGAGGTAAGATTCCTTATTTTTATTGTTATTGTTGCTGCCGTCTTTAAGCTGCCGTCGCTGGCCCTCGGGTTAGCACCCGCTGAGAATCTGCCGAATCACAAACATAAAACCATTAATAAAGCATGCACATGTAAGGACAGCCTGTAGCAACAGTTCCTTATTTTTATTTTATTTTTATTATTTTCTTTTTTTTTTTGTGTGTACATATAAGTACACATCGATATGGAGATATACAAGTATGTATGTAGGTGGAGTGCATATATGCCATGACTGGTTTCTATGTAAACACGTACATACATATATATATATATATATATATATATGTGGGAACGGAAACCTTAACCACCCGTGTAGCAAGTAACAGGTGC